CTCTGTACACCTCTCATGGTTTTCCCTCTCTCTGTCTCTCTCTCTCTCTCTCTCTCTCTCTCTCTCTCTCTCTCTACACCTCTCATGGTTTTCCCATCAGTCTCTCTTTCTCTCTCTCTCTCTCTCTCTCTCTCTACACCTCTCATGGTTTTCCCATCTGTCTGTCTCTCTCTCTCTCTCTCTCTCTACACCTCTCATGGTTTTCCCATCTGTCTCTCTCTCTCTCTCTCTACACCTCTCATGGTTTTCCCATCTCTCTCTCTCTCTCTCTCTCTACACCTCTCATGGTTTTCCCCTCTGTCTGTCTCTCTCTCTCTACACCTCATGGTTTTTTTCTCTCCACCTCTTATGGTTTTCCCATCTCTCTCTTTTTCCACCTCCCTTGTTTTTCTAACTTTCACTTCCATTCTCTGTATCTTTTATTCTTCTGCATCCTTTTTCCCTTTCTCTCCATTTATTCACCATGCAACCTCCATCAAATTCCACTGACTTATACATACCCCATAATAAAATATGTTTATTGATGAATGAGGAAATTGACATTGTACAAATCAAAAGATATTACTTGTCATTATACTGAGATGATCTTTGTAAGAATTCATCTAAATTAAGCTAATTGGTAAGCCTTTGTATCCCCTTTATTTATTCTCCAAATAATATATATATATATATTTATTTTCTTTTGACACATGTTTCTTTTTATGTGACTATTGACCAAATGTGGAGACCTCCCTTCTTTCTCCTATATAATCTTCCTCCTTCATCTTATATTTTTTTTCTCCCTTTATCTACCTTTTGCTTATCATTTGGATAATCTTAAGTTAAACCTCAACTACTGATAAATCAAGACACCAACTATGATTAATTAATGCCATTCCAACCTCTTTTATCTTCTTTTAACCTTTTAACTCTTTTGGGCCAACAAACCCTCCATTTTTCCTTTCCATTATCATTCTCTAGTTTAAAGGAACAACAAGCCGACTCACTTGAAAATTTAATGCCCTTGTGCTTCCTATTTCTGACAAATAAAATGCATCATTTATTCAACCTGGTTAAGAAAAAAAGCATTTTTTTTCCTAAGTGTGCTGTCTTTGATTTTCTATTAAAGACAAAGAAAAAACAACTTTCTTGGCAGGTCAGAAGAAAAAAAAAGATTCTTGGGTAAATTTAAGATTATGAAACCTGATAATGATTGGAGATTTTGAGATTATACAAAATGTTGGTTTTACTCTAAAAAATCTTGTAATTTTTAAAAAATACATTATTTAACTGTTATTTATATTGTTTAGCATTATAGATTTCATATATTTTTCAATATGTTTCGTACTTCTCATCTGACAAAAAATATTGAAATTGAAATTAAGTGCATTTACTTACTTCAATAACAACTAGTAGGATATTGATACTAACACGGGTACTAATATTGATGGACTTATTTTAAATCTCATCTCAAAGAGGCAACATTGGTCTTTTTATCTTTTTTTTATTTACTATTATAATTGCTTTTTATTATGTGAATAGTTAAATATTATTGATGTTAGTTTGTTAATACTATTAAGTTTGTTTATCTGTATTTTTGTTACTTTTTGCTGTTCTCCTTGTATGTAGTTACAAAGATAAATTTGACTTCTTTAAATAAATAAATAAAAAGCATTTTCTGTAACAGTTACTGGCTTACTAAGAATATCCTGTCTTTTTTCATAAGAGTAGATCATATTTTCGAGAGACGAAAAGTTTCCTTTTATTGACAAAATTTTCTTCCTCTCTTTCTCTACCATCTTTTATTTTGGATTTTTTTTCCCCAGTCCTCCAATCTCATTTTAGAACTGTCATCAGTGCACACAAAAATAAAATCCCATAAACACCTAAATGACAGGCTTTCCTTTGCTGATGTGAAAGATGAAACATTATATGGATTTTTTTAAATTATTATATTTGCCTTTTTAAGAATGGTCTGAAGAGAAGGTTGTTGCCTCAGTCTTTCACACCTGCAATGTAGATACAAACTATAAAACTAAGTAGGTTGACTCCAATGCATTATCCTTGGATGAAATTCCTCCCTGGAAATTGCAGTTCTCCCATTGTAGAGATTCTAAGGAATTCTCAAAGAGGAGATTCTCTACACACTGGTATCAGCATACTGAATATAGACAACATACTGGCAGTGTACAGTGCTGACAATTCCTCCTATATTTTGCACTTCTTAATGTTCAGTGAAAGAATTGTGTAGAACCTTGCACATGGTTCATTCCTGTTTGAGCTGGCTGTAAACTTCTTTTTTAATATATACAGATAGGACTTTTTAGTTTTTCCTTCTTCATTCACGGTTGATATTTAGTTGACTGAGCTGACAAAAAGCCATATAATTATATGGTAACAAGTGATGATAGAAATGCTTTCAAAGATTAACCTGATATTTTTTACACAAGGCACCCATCATTTTAGCTTAACACAAGGATTCAATACTAAATAAGAAATGAACTTACTTGCAATATCCTCTGAGACTAACAAATTGCTTTATGGGGGATAATGTCCTCCTAGTTGAAGGGGTTAATGAAAGAATCTCAGTGCTTCTAGAACAGTTTCAGATGCTCCTTTGGGAGAGAGTACCTGTAGTTGTGGTTAACAAGAATTAAACACAAAATGTCATCTTGCATAAGTAAATTAATTTTGGTTTTAAATGTCTTGGAACTATTATTAGTATGTGTTTAAAAACAATAAAATTGGGACCTCTACAGGCTAAAGCTATCTGGGGAGTGTGCAATGGATGTGGGGGACCCCACCCAAATCTTTGTTTCAAGAAACTAGTAACAGCAGCAATTAAAAAAAAATATCTTGAAATTTATTTATCAAAATGTTTTTTTTTAATTAAATCTCTATAATGCATTTTTTTTTTCTTTTAAAGTATTATTTTTGATGTGTTAAGCTTTTTGATACTGCATTTTTTTTCCCCCAAATATTTTATATAATTTAATTCTGCTTATTATCAATCAGTCTGGTGATATGATGAGGTATTATTGGGAATTTTTAGTGGGTCGTGTAATGCTTTTTTTTTTTTTCTTCTTTCTTCACCCACAAGCTTTGTCTGAACCCTGGGTTATCTGCTGAAGATTCTATTGAAAATATTGTTTCAGCAGAAAATGTAAAAACTTATATTGCACTTAGTAGATTTAGATTTGTATTTTTTCATGTTTTTGTTTGATTTTTTTGGTTTTTAATTTGCTTCTGACCTTTTTATTTTCTCTCTTTTAGGTAAGTTGAAAAAGTATTGATTGGAATGATGCTACATTGATTTTATGGAACAAACCAGTTGAATGCTGTAAGTTATGAGGTAGGCTATAAACATGTTTATGTTGCTTTTGGCTTTACGTCAGTGTACAGAAACTCAAAATAGAAATTCTGTTATGCTTGTGACTTATCAGTACAATCCAGCTTTCAAAAAAGGAGTCTTGGATTACATGCCTGCTGAAATGTTTTCTCCTATTAAAAGTTACATTGAAATTGGTCACCTTCAAAATTATTAAAAGTAGAGGAGAGAGAGAAATGCTAAACACTGAAGATTTATTCATAACATTTGAAAGTTAATTTTTTTTTCTTTTTTCTCTTCTTCTGAACATTAGACAGGGCAAGGGACATAGCTTCAGAGTCTTTGAGTCTAGAAATTCGGAAAATATCTGCTGCTGAGTTTAGTCTTTATAAACTCTGTGTGTGTGTTGAAATGCTAATGTCTTGATATAAATTTCATCTCTGGGGCAATATTGATTAGAATACATTTCCTGTTTTATTTAAAAGAAGTTGGTGGTGTGTGTGGGGGGGGAAGTAAATATATTTGCCTGTTATTGCAATTTCTGTTATCACTGCCCTTTGTGAGATGTCAGGTAATCTACACTCATGAATAACTGTTGATATTTTCTTATCTTTGAAAATTTTCCTTTTTAGCTTCTAGAATATTTTTTGTTTTAGCTCTAGATGGTTTAGGGACAGTTTTTACTGAGCTGTTACTCATCACTGAAAAACTAAGACCAGAAGCAGACGAATTCACACAAAAGGGCCAACTCTAATGAAAGATTAATTTGCTGTGTGAATAAAAGGAGAATATAGTGGGTAAAAGGCTGGTTCTAACAAAATGTTTTTATAATTTCTGTCAGGAAGAATGAAGAATATCTTTTGGGGGGGGTATAGAAAGGTAAATGGCCACCAAAGAAGAAATAATTAGTAAAAACCCTTCAATAATCTTTTTTCACTTAATGGCTTTTGATTTATTCCCCAAATGTTTGTCTGAGGTGATGAGAGATTTCTGTGATTTTTTTTTTTTTTTTTTTTTTTATGCTGGAAATCTGAACACTAGATAAAAATCTGTTTTTTAATTGAATTCTTAACAGCAGACTTAGTTTTGCAAGAAGAGCATAAAAATTGGATTATTAGCAAGTTGGAAGAGATTTCATTTATGAAAAGGGCATGTTTGAGTGCAGAGATAGATGACTGTGTGAACACCAGCAATTAATCTCTCTGAGTAGTTTGGCTCTGTCTGGACCACCCAGCTATTGTCTATCTCATGCCACCCTTAAATTAACCATTGTTTACACAGTAAAGCATTTGTTAGTTTTGTATTAGACATGTTTGACAAAGACCCTTACACAGATTTCTTTTAATTTGGGTCATAAAGTCTTGGTTTTGGTCAATGTACACTCTGGTTTTGGCTAATGTACCCTCCGACTTTCTGTAGATGTCTATCATTTGTCACCTTTTGGGAATTTTAAACCATACCTTGTTATTCAATCCACAAGTAGGTTTTAATTCAAACAACTAAAAAAAGTCTTTTTCACAATCTTTTTTGTTTAAATTCTATTTTATGTCCTTTATAAATTAAACAAAATTTGTAAATTAATTGTATCTATTTGTTAAAATGACCACGGATGACAATGATATTGAAGTGAAGCTTATTCATCTAGCAAAACGAAACAAAAAAAATACATACATATTTAGAACATTTGTATTTTTTTGTCATACTTCCCAAGTAAGAAAAATCCATAAATACACTGACAGAATTTCAGCGACTCCATATTTCAAAAGATATTATTATATTCAAAACTATCAGAAATTTATGACTTTCATTCAAGATTCTCTATTTCTTATTAAGCTTTGTCCATTCTTCTTAAAAATGCCTGTAACTATTTTCTCTGAGCTTTATTATCTTAATTTCTTATCCAATTTTCACAAATATTTTTCTCTGAAAATTTACTTGGAATAAAGAGGCTGCCATTAAAATTGAAGCTTAAAAGAAAAAATATCAACTTTGCTAAGCCAATTTATTTTAAGTTTTAAGTGCCTCATCCAAGTGCAGTGGTTTGCAAGCTTGTCTCACTGATCATTACAATTGAATAGTGACTTCAATCCTTAGTGGGTGATCTACACTTTTGTGACCCCATGCTAAAAACTAAATGAATAACTATAAGAAATTTAATTACTTTTATTTTTAATGCAAATTCTGCTGATTTCCAATTTACCTGAAAAAAAAAAGGTA